TTTATTTTTATGCTTCTTTGAAAACAGCCGACGTGTTTTGATGATTTCTGAAGAGTTTAAAAACAATATACTTAATTGCCATGAGTAATTTCAGAGCTCATTAATGTAATAAATCTCTAGAGGGAAATACTCTTAGTTAACGATCAGCATAAAACCGGAGAGGCTCGAGCAGCAAGTAGGGACTCCAGCTTGCCCTAAGATGGAGCAGGAGCGGTGGGCGCGGGAGAGGGGAGGGCCTGCTTGTTAGTGGCGCATACCCGCAACTGAAAACTGATTGGTACCCTCCCTCCCCGAGATTTGGCAGGAGGAGACCGCCTTCTGATATCAGTGTCCATTTGACTCAAGATCGCTAGAATCATCGTCCAGAGATCCTTGTGGTTCGGGGGACCTCGGACTCCAGCTGGACAGAGCCGGGCGGTGGTGGCGCTCGCCTTTAATCCCAGCACTCGGGAGGCAGAGGCAGGTGGATCTCTGTGAGTTCGAGGCTGGGCTGGACCGATAGCCTCCAAAACAATACAGAGAAACCCAGTCTCGAAAAACCAAAAAAAAAAAAAAAAAAAAAAAAAAAAAAGAAAGGAATTCCCTGTGAATCACAGGGAAGCTTCCTAGGGGCTGGCGTTGAAGCCCGACTTTGCCCTAAGCCAAAATAAAATCCTAACTCCCGAGGACCCTAATGCATCCCTCTCTTGATCAGCCTCGTGTGAATCAAAGGCATCTCTTCCCAGGCCTTGGCTTTCTGTTGCGGTAAGATAGCTGTCCTAACAGTGTGAGGGTGTCGGGCCCCATGTTCTCAGGGCGTGGTGTCTTGTCACGTGGCTCCGTGAGGGGGTGTGGTTAGACAGAGCATCGAGGCAGGAAGCATCCCATGTAGCAAAGCAGCTCATTTAATAGTGGGCGGGGAGCAGAGAGGGGCTTGGGGACAAGATGCTTCCTCCTACGGGGCGTATTCCCAAGTAACCTAACTTCCTTCAATCAAAGTCTCCAACTCGCACCTTCCACCGCCTCCCCCACAATGAGGCTTTGTTTCGGGTCCCAGTCCATCACCACCCTGGAGAAGCTCAGGCTGCCGGAAGGTGAGGCAGCTGCTCGCACCGCTTCCCACAGCCAAGAGCAGAGAGCGATGGGCTCGCAGGTGCACGCCAGGTCTCAGCTCGCGGCTCTGGGTCCTGCTAACAATGAAGTGGGTTTTCCCCACCTCGATTCACTAGCATACTCAAGGAAATTGCTCACAGACGTGTCCAATGGGACACCCTGATCTAGATACTCCCTCGCTGAGACTGCCTTCCCAGGTGATTGCAGATAGGATCCAGTTGAAAACGAAGACCGATAGTCTCAGGGAATTATGTCCCGGCTCCTATTCTGCCTTGCTGGAACCACAGGTTTCCCCCGAGTTCAGCAATGCGTCTTGCTAGATCCCAGTTGGTGATCTGGGCAGACCCCTGCATCCCGAGTTAATGGAAGACATGAGTTTATTGTAGCAGAATGTCACAGACCCTGAACTCCCAATGCTACTGAAGCCATGCCATCCTAGGATCCTGATCTAAAGACAACAGGAGGGCAGTCAAAGCACTTGCCTTAGTCCATCACTCTTTGTTGGGTGGTGGGGCTCCCTTAAAGGAAAAACCCATTCGTGTGGTTGGGGACTCTTGTCTATCGAGTGACTTCAGGCTGGAAGAGGTGTGTGTGTGTGTGTGTGTGTGTGTGTGTGTGTGTAAGCACATGTGCTTCTAGTTTAGCAATGGCTTCTTGAGGGTCTTCTTCAGGGCTTACAGTCAAGAGAGGGTGGGCTGGCTTAGGGGAGAACGGATTCCGGAAGCTTGGCTTGCTGTGACATTAGTCACAGTAGGTCTTGGTTGAGGAAGGTCAGCCTCAACTAAGGATGACTTGGCTCAAGAATTTCACCTCCTAAGCCAAGCGTAGTACAGCTGTGAGGAGGCAGAGGGAGGAATCATGAGTTTGGTGCCAACCTAGGCCGTATAATACAATGAGTTTGAGTCTAGCTGAGACTACACAGAGATACCCTGTCTTTAAAATAAATAAATAAATACAATCATACAGCATCAGTGTGGCTGGGGAAAGTGTCTGTCCCTAGGCAACTCTCCTACTTTCATGTGTCCCCATCATATTCTGTATGCTCTCCTGATCTCAGAGTGACATTTTATTTTTATTTTTTGTGTGAGTCTGCCTACATGTATATGTATGCGTACTATGTGTGTGCCTGGTGCCCAAAGACAACTGGAAGAGGGTATTGGACCCTCTGGAAGTGGAGTTATAGACAGTTGTGATCTGCCATGTGGGTGCCTGGAACTGACCCCCTGGCTTCTGCGAGAACAGCAGCAAGTACTCTTAACTCCTGAACTGTCTGTCGAGCCTGAACTTCCATCTTCTTGTCTCTCTTTTGGTGACTCCTGGTCTGGTGGCAGAAGTCTGACGGTGGGCAGTCTACCTCTACTTCCTGAGCGGGGTAGCAATGGTTCATGGGACCACAGGGGTGGAGACTCCTCTAGGGGAGATTCCAAGCGGTCTTTGTCTGTTCCAGCCCTAAAGCTGGAGACTCCCATCGAATTCAAGAAGCAGGGTTGCCATAGGATGCCTTCGTCAATAACTGTAAAACAGTATGGAAAGCCCCCCACCCAGGGAAAAGAGGAAGCCAGGGAGCAGGCATGACCTCGGTGGGCAATGTATCCCAGCAGGACTCTTACAAAATTCCAACCACATCTGTGGGTTGCTTCATGGGCTGTCTGCCCTTTCGTGGCCATTCAGTACTGCATGGGAACCAGAGGAAAATAAAGAGGAGGGGCAACGCTTCTTTCTAAAACATCTAGAATAAGCTTCCAGCTCAAGGCTGGCTAGAGCACATTGTCCAGGTTTGCCCTAAGCCGGGGTGGGTGTTTGAACCAGCACATAGCAGTCCCGTTGATGTGGGTGGTACTGGGAAAATTCAGAATGAAGGGCATGCTTGTGCTCCATTCTGATTCTGCTAGGAGCCAACACACAGCCTCTGATAGCACTGTTTGGTTGTGTTGAAGTCTTCTCCCAGGGAGATATGTCACTGTAGTGTATGAATTATCCATGTGACTGGGAAGAGTGTTTCTTAACTTTCTCTATTCGAAGCAAACTTATGTGTTTTTCCCTTCTTGTAAGTCTACGGGAAAAAAAATCCTAACCTCTCAGACAGTGACATTACTGTCACCTGCTTAAAATAGTATGAAGTTCTTCAAGCCTGAGAATACTCTCTAGGGCTCTCTGTTTTCCATGAGAGCATTTACTTCAGTCAAAATACTTCATGTTTTCCCCTCCATTCCGACACTTCCCCCCAAAAAGGAGTGGCAAGACGATATAGCAACTTGAAGCTACCACGCCAGCTCTAACGCTAACACGATGCGTTCCTCACTCCAGGAGAAGAGCTGTCTTCTCGGGTCTCGTCAGAAGCCTCAAGGGAAAGAATTGACTTCTCAACAGCCCCGGGGGCTACCCATGTCTGGAGGATCTGGTCTTGCCTGGGGATGGTGCTCTAGGAGGTGGGTAGGGCTCCAAAGAGGCAATGGAGCCCCGGGAAAGCTAGGCAAGGCTTCAAGGAGCTATGTGGGGCTCTAGGAGATGGGGGAGGGGATACTATCAGGGAGCTGGGTGGGGCTCCAAAGGGTTGTGTAGGGCTTTAAAGAGATGGATAGAGGAGCCTTATGGAGGTAGGAGGGCCTCCAAGGAGAGGGAGGCTCAGAGGATCGGGGTGGGGTGGAGGTGTGGGGGTATCTTAAGCTGTAGGGAGGGGCTGCAGAGATGAGAGGGACTTCTGGAAGCAGGGTGGGCCCTAGGGAACAGAGAAAAGACTCTCAAAGGAGGTAGGAGGGTCTACAGCCACCAGCGAGCTCCAGGTGCTAGGAGGGGGATGACGTCACTCCTCTCTGCCCATTGCCCTTGAATTGCCCTCACGGCCCAGTTACATCCCTGCTCCTTTTCTCCCCCGATTGAGGACAGAGTCGGGTTCCCCTTCCTAGCCTCCCCCTCCCGCCTTCCTCCTCACGCCCTGCTGGCCCTCATCACCCGCATGATGGACCTTTGAATATTCCGGCGTGGGCTCCCCGGGCTGCAGATGTCACGTCTTCTCGTCTGTTGTTAAGTCGGGAGACAACAAGGGCTCCCCTGGTTTACCTGTGTAGTCCCAGCGCGCCTCAGGTGCTGCGAGCCCTGTGCCTCCTGTCAGATGTGGTTGGTGAGAGACAGGACAGCATGACCGCCTGGGCCCCGCGCGCAAGGCCGCGGGTCAGCTGGCGAGGACAAGCAGCAGCAGCCTGGTGTGGTGATGTGGCCATGACTACTTGTCAGGAGAGCGGGAGGAAAGTTGGAGAGCGGGGGAGGTGAGCGGGGTGTGTAGCAAGATGGGAGAGAGGAAGGGGGGGCTGTAAGAAAAAGGTCCTGTCATCCCTGGATGACATTCTCACTGTTCCACCCCGCCCCCCCACCCCTGGGGAAGGAGGGATTTCTAGAGCATTCTTCAGGCCCCCGTCACGGGTGCCTGGTGCGATTTGATTGGCGATGCCCATCAGACATCTACAATTGCCTATCTCCGGTTTAATCCGGGGCCTTGGCAAGTCTGGGCTGGCTTCCTCGTTGTCACTGCTCACAAGCATGCTTGTAGAGGCAGCTGGAGTCGGTGACATCCCAATGGGGGAAATAACCGTGCAATGGAGCAAGCCACCTTTTGGAGCCTATGGGGCCCGAGAGACTGCTGTGTCGCAACAAGTTTTTGAGATTTTGGAAGGGAAACCACGGTAGTGGTGCCAGTTCTTAGGATCATAAATAATCATAATGAACAGGACTGCTGTATATTTATGTTGGTTTGTTTTCAGACACTTCTCATTTTATTTTGAATTTTTTCATATTGTGTTGACTTGAAACACTTCTGTCTGTAGCGTGGCATGCTCCGCGGAACACTGGAGAGCAGCGCCATTCTGGATCTGTCCCCCCCCCCCCCGAAACACACAACGGCTGGGCGGGGGCAACTTCTAACTGCCTTTAGGGCCCACGAGTGGCCGTGTGAGTCTCCTGGAAACCGCTGGCCATTGGGGATGGATCCGTCAGTGGAGGCTGTGAGTTCTTTCCGTGGGACCAGTGATATCTTCCTGACTTTGGGTATCTCCAATGTTGTTCCCAGGAAGGGCACAGGTATCGATTTCCAGTTTCCATTGTGGTTAAACGTGGATGGCATGAGTTTGTGGAGGATAGTGGCTGTGTCTGCAGACGTGCATACAAACAGACAGTGAGTCACCGTGTTTTAAGAGTCAGGATGGAGAACAATGGCTCTCATGCTGGCATTGAACAAGAGGCTAGCTGTAGCCTAGGCCCTGCATGCTCAATAAGCTGTCACCTACACGTTGATCCTGGTAGAGGTAGGGGGAGGCGGGCTCACGAAACACTCAGGACGTATAATGCGATCCTAGGAAAATGCCAAGGTTGGACTTCATCTACAGGGTCTAACTATTTTTAAAAAGTTTTCGGGGCTGGTGAGCTGACTCCTTCCAGAAAATGCCTGCCACGGAAGCATGAGGACCCCAAGTTTTATCTCCAGAATGCACCCATAAAACTAAAGAAGCCAGGTACGATGCCATGCCTTTTGTGGCCTTGGTGCTGGGCGGGCAGAGTCAGGAGGATTCCCGGGTGTGAGCTAGCCTACCCTAGTTGGTGTGTCCCCATGCCCCAGTCAGGGACTTGTTTCATTAAAACTACGACAAGGTAGACTGAGGGGCAATACCTAAGACTCTCTGGCACCAATACACACACACACCCACACACACACACACACACACACACACACACACACTTTATATGTTTTTATAAAGCTGGGCATCCTACCCTGGGCCTTGCTCATGCTAAGCAAGCACTCCAGCACTGAGCAGCAGTGCCCTACCCAGCAAGGGCCGTCTAGTAACTTTTTCAGAGGACAGGCATTGCTCACACAGCAAATGACCTGTCGTGGATCTGCTGAGATCTCTCTGTGAACTCACAACAGTCTCTCTGCCTAAATTCCCACCTCCGCTCCTCCAAGGAATGCTCCCCCTTGGCGGGTGCCAACCTCTTGCTTCCTCTCTCAGAGGTGCAGAGAAAGCCCACTCCCAGGGCTCTGTGTGCAGCTTTGTACAGAGCAAATCAAAGAAAGCAAAAGCTTGTTTCTTCCTTCTGTCTCACCCTGGCTTTCTTTGGGTTGTGATTAAGGGGGGAATTTTTTTTAACATATGCCTAATGGGGAAGCAATGTCCCTAGTTAAATTATCTGCCTGTCTTGGGTGGCAGTTTTGCTGGGAAATGAACTTTCAGAGTCACACCGGTTTACATCAAAGCCCTAGGCCAGGTTGGCAGGAGCCAAGTCCAAGATCATGGTTAGGGTCTCCCTTCCTGTGATTACCAGGACCTTTCACCCAGAAGCATTTTGTTTTGTTTTTCTTTAATTATTCTTTTTTTTAAGCCTGCATCCCTTGGTCAGTGGGGCCCCCTAAGCCGTGAACTCCGTGGATAATGAGGTGTCTGACTCGTGATGATTTGTCACCTCTGGGTAGCCGAGCTCGGGTGCGAGGTTCTGCTTTGGTGTTGTCCCCCCCCCCCAGAAGTGAGGAGGCAGCTTCCAAGTGTAGGGTACCACCTGCAGTTACCATAGAAACTCCTGGTCCAGGGGAGAGGAAGAGGGAATCAATGTGATGGCTGCAGTCCATGGTGGGTCCTTGTGTTTAAAGAGCTCCAGCAGAGGACTGCCTTGCTGAACCCCCAAAACCGACACGACGGGGTTTAGCTCACTGTAGCTGGTACTTAAAACAAATATGACCCCACTTTACCTTTGAGGATGCTGGTGCTTTGTGGGCTTGCTGGTGTCCCAGGATAGCTCAAGTTCAGACTAGGAGCCCATTCATGCTTCTCTGTGAGCGTGTGTCTCTTCACCTTCAGGTGGCTTCTCTGTGAGCGTGAGTCTCTTCACCTTTGTGAGCCTGAGTCTCTTCACCTTCAGGTGGCTTCTTCATCTTCAGGCGGCTTCTCTGTGAGCGTGAGTCTCTTAAACTTCAGGCGGCTTCTCTGTGAGCTTGAGTCTCTTCACCTTTGTGAGCCTGAGTCTCTTCACCTTCAGGTGGTTTCTCTGTGAGCTTGAGTCTCTTAAACTTCAGGCGGCTTCTCTGTGAGCATGTGTCTCTCCACCTTTGTGAGCCTGAGTCTATTCGCCTTCAGGTGGCTTCTCTGTGACTATGTGCCTCTTCATCTTCAGGTGGCACCAGACACACTCTCATTTTCCATGGAAGGCTGGCAAGAGTTCTTGCCAGGCTCCAGGCTGACTCAGTAAGTCCTCCCACTTGGGTGGGTCCTGTGTCCTGAGAAAAGGCAGAAAACGGCCCATCTTGTGGAGAAAAGGGTTTGTTCGTTCGTGGTGATAGTCCAGTGGGGGGGGGGGGAAGAATTTTTGTGTATTTTGGTCTATATCAATTTCTTTATATCTCTTTTCTTGCTCTTTCAATGATTCTCTGAGATAGGTCAAGTTTTAGGGATCCGGTTAGCAGACGGAGAAATGGAGGCTGGAAAAGTGAAACATCTTTCCCAAACTCACATAACCGGTGGGGCAGGGGTTGAACCCAGGCTATGCTTGGTAGCTTGCTTTCTGTTGGCGGGATGAAACGCTGACCACAGCATGGGAGGGAAGGCTTTATTTGGCTTACGGTTCCAGGTCATAGCCTTGAGAAATCGAGGCTGGGGAACTAAGCAAGATCTTGGAGGCCGCCGGCTTGCTAATCCACATGGCCTTGCCTCTGACCAAGGGATTCGCATCACAGCCAAAGACACACACACACACACACACACACACACACACACACACACACACACACACACACACACCAGGAACCGTGGAGGGTATTGATTGCTATCTACCTAGCTGGTTTTCAGGCCAACTTATACTCAGCTAAGTTTTCTCGTACAGTTGAGGGCCACTTACTTAGGGACGGTGCCACTCACAATGGGCTTGGTCTTCCTACATCAGTTAACAGTGGAAGACACTGGACATGCCCGCCGGCCAGTCTGTTTTTAGGCAATTCCTCAGTTGAGGGTCTCCGTCCAGATGATTTTAGGCTGAGGTAACCAGGATGAAGTGTAACTCCAAGGCTGTCGCCATTTGCCTACACATGTCATGACAAAGGACTTCATCCCTACGGGGGGTTGGGGGGTGGGCGCGGGGTCTCACGTGTATCTTGCTGATGTTCGGCTCGGAGAACTGACCAAGGTCTGGTCTTGAGTAAGTCGCAACTCCCTCCTTGGGTCTCGGTTGGTTTCCTTATCTATCAAACAGAGGCTTGGACTGAGGGAACCTTCAAGATCCTCTCGGGTCAAGAGTGTACTCCTAAAATAAGGCTTGGAGCCTGCGGTGGCTTCAGTAAGAGTGGCCCCCATAGGCTCATGCATTTGATGCTTAGTCACCCGGAAGTGGGACTCACTGAAGGGCTTAGGAGGATTGGGTGGTATGGTCTTTTTGGAGGAAGTGTGTCACTAGTGGTGTGGGTTTTGAGGTTTCAAAAGTCCAAGTCAGGCTCAGGCTCAGGCTGTCTCTCTGTCTCTGTCTCTGTCTCTGTCTCTCTCTGTCGATTCCCTATGGATCAGGATGTAGCTGTTAACTATGTCTCCAGTACCACGCCTTCCATGCCTGCCGCAATGCTCGCCACCATGGTGATAATGGACTGAGCTTCCGAAACTGTAATCAAGCCCCCAATTAAATGTTTTCTTTTGTAAATGCTGTGGTCATGGTGTCTCTTCACAGCAATAGAACAGCAGCTAGGACAGAACCCCAGGGAATCTTTGCTGAGGCCATCCAAGACTGGTCAACACCGAGGCATACTCTGATGGCTCACACTGTTGCAGATGGCCTCAGATACCACATTTCTTCACTGACATTGAGCTGTTAGGAGATCAAACTATCAGGTCCGTGCTGTGGGTGCTGGGGGTCAGGTGGCTTGCGGTAGGCAGTGATGAACCTTGGTTTTCTGTGGCTGTTCTCTCCCCGGTCCATGGCAACCTTAACCTCAGGGTGCCTGAGGTGAGGCGGGTCTCTTGAGGGCCTGGGAGATCACTGAGGGGCAGATGACTCCACTCATCTGATGGAGAGCTTTGCCTCCCTGGACGTGGAGCACCAAAGGCTGGGCTTGTGGGCAACAAGGTCACCATTGTCTTAGCTACTGTTCTGTTGCTGACACTAGGTATCACAACCAAGGCAGCTTGAGGTGCCTTCACCTTTGCACGTCTCAGCGCTTGTTGAGAGAAAAGTCCTTTGTTTTAGCGCTGCTCCTATGTACTCTGCCCTCAACCTTCACTCCGCTTGCCTCCGTAGCTGAAAGACACTGCTTTAGAAGAACAGCGGGTGGGAGCATCCTGTTCTGATTTCACTGACTGAAAACATCCCTGTGCACGCTGCAAACGTGCCTAGTTCTTGTCGTTGTCTGTGTAAAATCAGGGTTGCCCTGGGGATGCAGAGTGTAGATCTGGGAGGGGAACTTGACGGACATGTGTGCAACCTCCGAGGAGGTACTACACGGTGCGGAGTCACACGCCTCTCTCCTCCTCTGTTTACCCCATTCGCTGTAAAAAAGCCACACCTCTTTCAACAAAGCCACACCTCCTCCAACAAGGCCACACCTCCTCCAAGAAAGCCACACCTCTTTCAACAAAGCCACACCTCCTTCAACAAAGCCACACCTCCTCCAACAAGGCCACACCTCTTTCAACAAAGCCACACCTCCTCCAACAAGGCCACGCCTCATTCAACAAAGCCACGCCTCCTGCAACAATGCCACGCCTCTTTCAACAAAGCCACACCTCCTCCAACAAGGCCACACCTCCTCCAACAAGCCCACACCTCCTCCAACAGAGCCAGGCCTCCGCCAAGAAAAACCACACCTCTTCCAAAGAAGCCACACCTCTTCCAACAAAATCATACCTCTTCCAACAAGGCCACACCTTCCTCCACAGAACCACACCTCTTCCAACAATGCCGCACCTCCTACAACAAAGCCACACCTCTTCCAACCAGGCTACTCTTTCTCCAACAAGGCCACACCTCCTGTGTTAGTCAGGCTTCTCTAGATTAGCAGGATTTACAGAATGAATCTTTCTCTATTTACGGAAAGATTTATTAGGATGGCTTACTGACTGTGGCCCAGCTAACACTACAACGACTGGCTGTGAGCAGAAGGTTCAAGGACCCATTAATTGCTCTGTGGGTGAGGCTGGATGTCTCAGCTGGTCTTCGGTAGAGGCTGGAGTCCTGGAAAAGTAGCCTGTAATACCAGCGAAGGAATGGACATGCTACCAAGGCGAGAGGGGCAATCGGGCAAAGCAAAAGCTTCCTTCTCCCATGTCCTCATGCAGGCTTCCAGCAGAGGGAGTCGCCCAGGTTAGATCTGCGCTAAAGACCCGGATTACAAATGTGTCTTCACCCAGCTCAGAAGCTCTCTATTAAAGGCATGTCTTCCTGTCTCAGAGATGGGGATTACAACGGGATCTTCCCACTTCAAAGTAAGCAAAAATCCTCACAGCTGTGCCCTCCATAGCGGGCTGCCTCGGGTGGACAACTTCGGCTGGTTTGGCCGCTGGTGAACCCCATAGGGCCCCAGAGAAAACAGTTGGTACCCCCCTTCCAAGCTGACATACTGTTTTGGGGGTCCTGTGTCTGCCAGCACTCCTACCCACAGCACCTGCACCCCGCCCAGCTGTGGCATTTATCAGCGATGCTTCTTCCCGTTTTTCCCTCTCCTCCTCCTCCTCTTTCTTCTTCTCGTTTTCCTCTTCCCCTTTCTCTTCTTCTTCTTCTTCTTCTTCTTCTTCTTCTTCTTCTTCTTCTTCTTCTTCTTCTTCTTCTTCTTCTTCTTCTTCTTCTTCTTCTTCTTCCTCTCATTTTATCGAGATGGGTATAAGCATGAAAGCTTTCCTAGGGCCAGCTTTCACCCTGATTCATCCTTTGTGTTGTGTGTTGGGTTTACAGGTGTGCACTACCCGTAAATGCCTTGGCAGGGGTGGGGTGGGGGGGTTGGGGGGTGGGTAGGGTGGGGGTGAATGGGTGGGTGGTGGGCGTGCCATTCTTTTGAGGCTCTTAGGATCACTAGTGTCACTTGCTCCCTTCACCAAACCACACTCACCCGTGCAACTCCCTCCAAATAACTTTTCTTTCTTGCCCCTCCCCTCCCTCCCCCTCCCAAAGCCACTCCCCCACCCCCGGGGTAGATATCTGCTACCACCCTTGAGGTCGGAATAAGGGAAGGAAGGAGGTTCCCAGTAGTTCACAAGAGAAACTAAAATGCTAGTTTGGCTTCTCTGCTGATGTAATAAGCCACTCTGGCCAAAGGCAGCTTGGGGAGGAAAGGGGCCATTTGCCTTAGAGGTCCATCATAGAGGGGGGTCAGGACGGGACCTGAAGCAGAGGCCATGGAGGAGTGCAGCTCACTCTCCACGGCTCACCCATCCTGCTTCCTTATACCACCCAGCCCCACCCTCCCACGTCAATCATTAATCAAGAAAACAGCCCGCAGACTTGCCCACAAACCAGGCTGACGGAGGCATCTTCTCAGCTGAAGATCTCTTTCTCCGGGTGACTGCGGCGTTTGCTTGTCAAGTTGGCAGACTCTCCCGTGCGATGAACTTGAGTCACAGGGACAGCTTGGCGTAAGAGCTGGGACTCCAACCCAAGTCTTCAGACTTCCTATTTGGTGTTTCACCCTCAGCCTTCTCATGGAAGGGTTCAACTCACCAGAAGAGTTTTGGTTGCCGGCGGCAGGAAGGCTTTCTCAAACAGCCCAGCAGAGAGACTCAAATCAGGCCCAAGATTTGCAGGTAGGGTTTCTTGTTGTTACCACTGCTGTGGCCAGCAGCCACCGTCGCTTTGGGTTTCCAACAGGAACCTATCAGTGTTGAAAGAGTATTAGTGGCATTGAGACATGTGGGGAGATGGCCGTGTGTCCTTTTGACCACCCTGAGATGACAATGTAAAATAATTAGCAAAAACTGAAGGATCTGTGTGGGGTAACATGCATGGGACTAACGTATTTTTTAATCTGAGTGTTTTTATTACCTGGGGAAGTGAAGACTAATCTATATTCTGTGTTCTGGCATCCTGAGAGTTTCATGGAAAGGCACACCCAGCCCCATCTCAGCCTAATTTTGCTTGATGCAGGAAACTCACAGGTTGGCGGTGGGTATGGGATGCTTTCCTGGAAGGGCACTTGAAAGATAAATAGGGGACAGTTTATCTTCTTCACTCCATCTTACCTCAAATTACCCATTCAGGAACAGTGCTTAACTGGGACATATTCCTGCAACTTCTCTCTCTCTCTTCTGTCTGTCTGTCTGACATCGTTGGATGTCAGGGGGAATCAGCCCACCCCCCAGAAGGAAGTCAGGTGTGGTGACTATGCCTACAGAGGTTTTAAATCACTGGACTCAAAGCTGAGGTCACAGGAGGCCCAGACTTTGGACTGGCTGCGTGTCCTTGGAGTTGCAGTGAATCCTAATTATTGGCTCCAACTGGCACTCAAAGCACTTAGGGACCTCAGCAAGGAAGGGTTAGCAGTTATTCTTGGTAGCTGACATGGGTGCCTGACTTACGGAGGTGTCGTCCTGGGAGAACTCAGGGAGTGATTGGTGATAGTGGTGACAAGTCATTCTCTGGTCTCCACACTGCTGCTAACCGCACCCCCCCCCCAAGCCTTTCCCCCCATTGGAGTCTTTAGTTTCCCTGCTCTAGGTTGGGTAGAGGTACATCTATGCCTGTCCTGTTCTCTTGCGGATGGGGCTTCCCAAGCACTGTGAAGACAGAAGGAACTTACCTGAGCCATCTCTCTGCAAGGGGGCATTTGTTAGTAGCAACCTGACATGAACTCACATTCATCAAAGTTATGAGACTGATGCAGAAACCCAGAAGCCCAGCATGTTATTTAATAGGGAGAGGGAAGGCAGGAGAGCTAGGCTTCTTACACTGGCATAGAACGGCCTCTCCAGCTACTCCAAGTCTTTGTAACACCCCATGTCCTTGCAGTGTGGCTGAAATGGACAAGCCCATCTTTCCAAAACGACGCTTTCCTCCAGGCATGGCCAGGAGAATAGCAGATTCATTTATGCGCACCTCTGACTTTGTACAAGCCTGATAAACTAAAAGCTGGGGAAAATTAACCCTACTGGCTTCCTCTACCATGCTGGACCTGGCGAGACTTCATGTCTCACGCGTAAGAAGAAATAAAAGAAAGAAAGATGAGGGGGTGGCTTGTCTGTGAGGACAGGCTTATTTTGCTGTACACCCGAGAAGGTTCTCAGTAGAGACAGTGAGAGACGGAACTTCTTTCCTGGCTAGGCTTTGCATCAGGACCGGTAGGAGGTCTAGTTCTGCCAGGCGGTGCTAACGGTTAATAGGGTGTTCAGGGAGGGCCCTACTAGCGTTGATTTCCAGAACTGACTTGGGTAGTGGTGGAGAAACTACTAGATATGAGGAAGAGGGCCATTCAAGCCGGAATGCTGCAGTTCGCAGGAGTGGAGGGGCAGGGAGCTGGGATTGGGCGGTGGGGGGGAAGGGGGGAAGGGGGAGGGGGGAAGGGGGATCACCACTCTTGTAGATATCTCTGGAAACAAGAGGCAGAGAAAGGAGGTAGGAGAGGCAGTGTATGCCCGTGCTCCTACCACTCAGGAGACGGAGGCAGGAGGACTGCTGTTAGTTGCAGGCCAGCCCAGGATGCAGCATGAGATCCTGTCTCCAAACAACAACCCTAAATCCAAACCAAGATGAAGTCTAGCAGAAGGGAAGAGAAAGAAGGAAGGGAAGCTTCTTTATTTCTGTATTCTCCCCTGCGTTGCTTTGTCTCTCTTTTAAGGGAATCCTGAAGTAGACTTTGAAGCTGGAAGTATCAAATACGCTTCAGGGGGTCCACATCTGGCGAGCCACAGGATGCTGGGCAGCCCGGCAGCCAGCAGGCAGGGGGGCGTGGAAGAGAGAGGACGTTGAGGGCTGTGCACAGGTTGAATGAGGCGTGGCATTGTTGGAGGAGGTGTGGCCTTGATGGAAGAGGCGTGGCTTTGTTGAAAGAGGTGTGGCCATCATTGTCCTTTGCGTCCTTCCGAGGAGTACAGTCACCATTATCATGACAGAGTCTCATGCAACATGGGTCTCGAGGAAAAGTGGGGTGCTCCACCCAGGACCTCCCTCGGGAGACGGGGGGATTCTTTCTCCGAATCTTCCTTTGGTTTTCAGGGGTTCTTGGCAAGGCTGCAAAGGTCTCAAGTCATGCCTGCTTGGGCGGTGCTGGGCCAGGTATGGACTTCATGAGATGCCCACAAACATCTGTTTGCAGAGCAACGGTGGGTGGGGTAGGAGTGCTGGCTGGTTAGTGCTGCCCTCTCTCGTGGGGGCGGGGGCCCAGGGCTGGCTCTGAGCATGTGCGGCTGGAGGCACCATCCAGCTCCTTGGAGCCCTCCGCTGTGTTACCCGATGGGCAGCTGCCAATCCTATCAATGAACCGAGCCCAGACTCTCCAGTGGATGCCAGTGGGGGCCCTTTGTAGTGAACGGTGTATTTCAGAGAAGATCAACAAGGAACCAGGAACTGAAGGGGACTGGCCTGTCTGTCTCCAGCAATCAGGAACAGTTCTCTGCCGCAAGGGAGGGCCGAGGAGTGTGTTTATTCCTGGGCCCAGGGAAAACGGTTCAAGCGTAGTTTCCCACACATTGACTACCTGGCCAATCCAGACATCCGCTGCGGAGGTCAAAGGGTGCGGCGCCCACGCCACAAGCAACTCTGAGGTATCAGGAAAAGAAAGACCAGATGTCCAGCTGTTTGTACTAAGAGGTGTCTTTATTTTGCAAGTGCTAAGAGGTCTCTCTCTTGTAGGTGGTAGCAGTCTTATATATAGTCTTACAACAAAGTAGAAAAACCCCAGGTGGAAGAGAGCGTGCTTTCCTCCTGCTAGATGTTGATGTCAGTGGGGTAATGCAGGAGCAGTAAGCCAGGACTAGAAAACAGGATGCACCTGTGGCTATTAGCTGACAAACAACTCAGAGACCCTGTGGGGGCTAGTCCCCAACAAAAGGGCTCACTGTTGTCTGTTCTGGTCTGCTGTGGTTTGAACCTGAGCTGTCCCTCACAGGCCAAGGAGGAGTCTCTCTTCTTAATTAGCAGCGGCGCTGCTTGGGGGAAATCATAGAGCGCACCTGGAAGGAGAGGCTCACCGGGAGCAGGTCTTTAAGGTGGTGCCCACTTTTAGGGTCTGCCTGGTTCCCCGTTTTCTGGCCCTCCGAGATGTGAGAAGCTGTAGCTGTCACAGATGGAGACCCCACGCCTCTCTGTTGTGACGGGCTCCTGGAGCTGTGCACCAAAGTGAAGCCTTTGTCCCTTAAGTCGCTTCCATGAGGAGAAGTCTTGTCTTAGCCAGGAGGGAAGTGATTAATACAGCCCGTAGACACGGCTTGGTGTTCAAGGTCACTTGCTGTTGTTCCTGTACACATTACTTTTATTTTATGTGTATGTGCGTCTGCTGTAGTGTATACACACCTCTTGTGTGCAGTGCCCAGGGAGGCCAGAAGAGGGCACTAGAGACCCCGGAACTGGAATCACAGAGAGTTGTGAGCCTCGTTGTGGGTACTGGGCGCTGAATCTAGGTCCTTCGCAAGAGGTAAAAGTGTTCTTAGCCACTGAGCCGTCTCTCCAGCCCCAGCTCCTTCTGTTGTGGCAGAAGATTTGGGTTCAGTTTCCAGCACCCACATTGGACAGTTTACAGCTGGGTTCAGAGAATCCAATACCTTCTTCTCGTCTCAGCGGGCACCTTCAAACACATGTTTCGCATGCGTTGGCACACACACGTATACACATAAGATAAAGAAAAATAAACAATTCTTAGAGAGGGAGAGAGAGAGAGAGAGAGAGAGAGAGAGAGAGAGAGAGAGAGAGAGAAATAACCAATACACACCTGCTAGCTGTGTGGCCTCAGGACAATTACTTTGCTTCACCGTACCTTAGTTTCTTTAATCAGCGAAATGGGTTGATGGTAGAACCTGTACCTGAACTTGCTACAGAGTTTGGGTGAGGTCTAATATTATCAAATCAGTTAAGAAGTGGTTGAGATACCAGATGTGCTGTAGGAGGGGTTGGCTGCCAACTCTCCTGCTCTGCAGAAAACTTGTCCAAAATGTGCCAGGCAAACTTTTTAGTGCTTGCTAGAAGGAAGCTTCTGTGTTACATGAAATTGCTCTCTCTCTCTCTCTCTCTCTCTCTCTCTCTCTCTCTCTCTCTCTCTCTCTCTGTGTGTGTGTGTGTGTGCGTGTGTCCTTCTCTCTCTCTCTCTCTCTCTCTCTCTCTCTCTTTCTCTCTCTGTCTCTCTCTGAAACTCTCTCTCCCCCCTCTCTGTCTCCCCCCTCTCTCTGTCTCTCTCTGAAACTCTCTCTCCCTGTCTCTCTCTCTCCCTCTCTCTCTCTCTCTCTGAAACCATCTTTCCCAGAGGCCAGGAGGAGAAACCTGAGGGATTTGAAAGAACGCACCCTTTACATGCCAAAGCAGGACCCAGAAGGACATAAACAGCCCCCCACCACCACACCACATGTCGTCTGGGAGGCAAGTGTTTCTTCTTTTGTTATTTTCTAGAAGAAATGGGCCAAGCTAGAAAGATGCTTTGGAGGGCTAGCATGGGGCCAGGACGTAGGTAGCCTCAGGCTGCCTTACTGCGTGTCACATGATATTGCGACATCTCTGAGTGCTCTGCGGAGATTGACATCATGTCCCTAGAGTGGCAGCCAGTGTGTCTCTTTCCTAGAGCGGGGAGGGCGGTCTCCAGTGCCATGCTGTACTCGGGGACTTTAAAGGGCACTCTACCCCCATCCTGACTTCCTGTCACACTCCACTTCCTGTGCAGGTAGGACAATGGATGGGGTAAGCTCAGCCAGGCAAGGTTGGTCCCTGGGCCTTAAATCCCACCCACTGAGCCGCCTCTGGCGTACCCCGGGAGGGTCACGGCTGACTCTAGCCAGAACTGTCCTTGACTGCCACAGGCTTCTGCTGACCGGGCATCCTGGACTGCACTTCCAGTCACTAGGGTCACCATCTAAGCCAAGGTTGAGAGGAATGGCTGTGGCCGGTGGGTGCAGGTGTGGTTCTGGCCCGGTTGTATCTTCTAACACATCTGGAGTCTTTTCAGCATCCCTATGTGGTCCAAGCCTTTCCCTTACAGCAACACACACACACACACACACACACACACACACACACACACACACACACACGCTGCATATGCTGGTCACTCCAGACTCTTACAGTTTCTTCCCGCAAGGGCACGGTCAGCTGCATGGGTCCTGAAGCCCGCCTCTGCCTCTGAGGAGGGGAGCTGGAGAGCACAGGAATCATCTGAGTGTCTGCAGACAGGGCCATCAGCCCTCATTTGCACTGCATCAAATTTGCGGGTTGCAAGATGGAATTCGCAATTGCTTTTCAGCAATGTTCAAATTAGCACTTCTTAGCATATTAATGAACTATGTGTTTTTTTCTCTTTTTTTTTCATTATGTGACCAATTTTAATGTAAATAGCAGTCTCCACGCAAAGATTAGGTCAGTGTTATATGGGAGGAAAACTTCCAAGTTTCCCTTGGGCGGCTCAAATTCTGGCCCGCCGGTGGACGGGCAGGCTCTAGCTCAGGGCCGCTGTCCACCGTGAGTGGCGTCTTGGGACAGCTCGGTCCGGCAGGTGCTCAGTCTGGGAGTAGGGCCTGAAGCTTCTTGTCTCAGGGATTTGGGATGCCCATAGGGAGGTTCTCAGCCATGTGTCTGAGCCCAGGGCTCAGCCACTGAGGCAGGAGGATGAGGATGGTACCCAGTGTGCTCAACAATGTATCAGTTTTGTGTCTCTGTGACCAAAATACATGACTGTGACAGCTTTAAAGGAGCAAGGATGTAGTTTGACTCACACACAGCTTTGGAGATTCACCCTATGGTCCCATGACCTCGCACATGGCCGGGGATCTTCTTCACTTCATGGCTGACAGGAGACAGAGAGATGGAAAGCTGGAAGAAGCTGGGTTACATGTGTGAAGTCCCACACCTGTGTGTGACTATGTACATGAATGCAGGTACATGTGTGAATACCACACCTGTGTGTGACTATGCATGTGTGTGCGGGTACATGTGTGAAGTCCCGCACCTGTGTGTGACTATGCATGTGTGTGCGGGTACATGTGTGAAGTCCCGCACCTGTGTGTGACTATGCATGTGTGTGTGCGGGTACATGTGTGAAGTCCCGCACCTGTGTGTGACTATGCATGTGTGTGCGGGTACATGTGTGTAGTCCCGCACCTGTGTGTGACTATGCATGTGTGTGCGGGTACATGTGTGAAGTCCCGCACCTGTGTGTGACTATGCATGTGTGTGCGGGTACATGTGTGAAGTCCCGCACCTGTGTGTGACTATGCATGTGTGTGTGCGGGTACATGTGTGAAGTCCCGCACCTGTGTGTGACTATGCATGTGTGTGTGCGGGTACATGTGTGAAGTCCCGCACCTGTGTGTGACTATGCATGTGTGTGTGCGGGTACATGTGTGAAGTCCCGCACCTGTGTGTGACTATGCATGTGTGTGTGCGGGTACATGTGTGAAGTCCCGCACCTGTGTGTGACTATGCATGTGTGTGCGGGTACATGTGTGAAGTCCCGCACCTGTGTGTGACTATGCATGTGTGTGCGGGTACATGTGTGAAGTCCCGCACCTGTGTGTGACTATGCATGTGTGTGCGGGTACATGTGTGAAGTCCCGCACCTGTGTGTGACTATGCATGTGTGTGTGCGGGTACATGTGTGAAGTCCCGCACCTGTGTGTGACTATGCATGTGTGTGTGCGGGTACATGTGTGAAGTCCCGCACCTGTGTGTGACTATGCATGTGTGTGTGGGTACCCATGTGCGTCAGAGGTTGACACACATCATTGCTTGACTGTGTGCTTTGAGACCGAGTTTCTTCCTGAACCTAGGACGCACTGGTCAGGTTAAGGCGGCTGGCCAGTGAGCTGCAGGAATCCTCCTGTCTCCAATCTCCCAGCACTGAGAGTAAAGGCATGCACCACCACACTTGGGGGATGAATCTAAACTCAGGTTCTCACACTTGCACAGCAAACGCTGAGCCATCTTTCCAAGCCCCACGAGTCACAACGGAGTTGGTCAAAGTACTTACTGGACTACTCCAGGACGAACTGGAAGTTTCTTTCTTCCAGGCATCTTATAGTTGTTGGTGGTGAGCAGTCGAGTCATGGGGCCTGATGTGATGCTAAACCCAGGGCAGAGACTGCAGGCACGGCTTCACACTGTCTCTGCCCTTCTGCGGAGGCAGGGTGCAGAGAAATGGAGGTCTTGAGGTCATGGCCCGATGAGACACTGGAGCCAGAGAAGCTGGCCTGCACAGTCTCCAACTGACTGCACCTGGCTGGCTGGAGACAGTGGCATGGGCTCTCTGGAAGAGGTGGTGACCTTGTGCATTTGAGACACACACACACAGACACACACAGACACACACACCAGGCTTTCAAAGACAAGAACAGACCCTAAGTTTTCTAAGTGCTATTACTTTCCGGGTTCATTATTCAAAATAAGGTGATTATTCACCAACCCCTGCCCGCCCGGGGCTTGAATTACCAACTAAATAGTATTTTCCTGCGGTGGTGGGCATCTCTATGATGCTCTGCACCTCTGCCTGTGTGACAGTAATACATTCCAGGGACTTCAGCTAACTGTTCTTAACTATCTATAGATGAATCCGAGGGTGTCCTGATTGCATTTTAAAAAATGAGTTTGTGTGTCTGATGGGTCTGGAAATAATCAGTAACTAAGGCAGCAGAGGAAGAAGAAGAAGAAGAAGAAGAAAAACACCAACCAAAAAGCCATTCAAGCTCCTGATGAGTAAGTTGTAAGCTGTGAAGACTTCACAGTCTGCTGTCTATCCAGGAGGAAGCCTCTCCATCGAAGCCATCCCCAGATGCAACCGAGATAGCCGATGCATCTCCTTGGAGACTCAAGGAGTTTTGCTAGGCACTTGGGGGACCTTATCAGTCCTGGGACGTCACAGGTCCCACTGGCTTGAGTGGGTCCCTTCTCAAGTTCAGGCGTTACGATGTGATAGCTAATGAGATGACCGTGAGACCTTTAAGGGGTGGGGGTCGTGGTGATTAAGCCTGGAGCGCTTCCTTTATAAATAGTCGGAGGGTTTCATAGCAAATACTTCGCCACAGCTGGCTCAACTGCTCTTCTGTCTCCAACCTCGTGGAGATGCCGGTGCTTTTGTCCCAGAAAACACAGCAACCGGGAGGCCTTTGGGAAGCAGAGAGCGAGGGGCACTCGCCACTCCGACCTTCTGACAAGACGTCAATCTTGAGCTCCCTGGGACCCAGAACCGTGAAGAGAAAAAAAAATTTATATCCTTTATGTATATTTTTATTTATTTTTTCTGCGTCAGCACAAATGAACCCATCCGCCTGTGTCAGTCCGTCGGTGTGCAAGCTCAGCCGAGGTGTTTTTTTTTAAAATATGGAAATGCCACCTCTTATGGGCTCGCCAAACCAGGTTTTACATTGTTATCTGACACCGGAAGTCTTGGTGGGTAGAGCTTCGGGAAGGGCTGGATCTAAGGGTCAGGATAAGCCTGGTCTCCTTTTATCATACTCATCGTGGTGGCAAGATGGCTGCCAGCAGCTCGAGGCTTATGGGTGTTTCCTCCCAGGAACACCAGGGGGGGGCGGTTGGGGAGGGAGGGAGATTTCTCTTTTTATACAAAGACCTGTGACTGAGTGAAGCTGTTCTTGATTTAGTCTCTAATCCCCAGCGTGTGGGATGTGATGTCCTCGTTGCTGTCCTGGCCCGGGTCACTTGCCTATCCCTTGGAGCTTGGGGGGGTGGGTTCAGCTCCTCTTAAGAGACCAAATGGATGCCTGCCTGCCGGGGGGGGAGAGGGGAGGGGAGGGGCGGCTCTTCAAGAAAAAAAAATCAGAATGCTATTTCCAGCAAAAGGAGGAAAGCGGCTGGGCAGGCAAAAAACAACAGATGTCCACTCTGACAGCTCTTCAGCTATTCACGGAAGTCCAGGAGCAAACTCCATCCAGAGAGCAGAGACTGCGGCGGCGGCGGATTCCATGAGTTTAGCTGTCTCTTGTTTCCTTTGTCAGTCTGACTGGCCCCGGGTCTCTGCGGTGCCCCCCCCTGTTTTTTTTTTTTACAGAGAGTCTGGGTGGTGTGCTCCATGTCCCACTGGCCAGACATTGGCATCTCCGATGCTCACCTGGGAGAAGCTCTGGGCTCCCTTGACGGGGGAGACCCTTGCCCTAGGCACTGGCTGGGAACTCTTGTAGCTCCCCAAGTGCTCCGGGCCTGCCTGTGGGCATCGAATTATCTGTACGCGGAGTCAGATCAGGTTCTCGGGAACCATACCCACAGATGGTTACAGTTCTATCTATCTTATCTATCTATCATCTATCTATCTATCTATCTATCTATCTATCTATCCATCCATCCATCTATCATCTATCTATCTTATCTATCTATCTATCATCTATCTATCTATCTATCTATCTATCTATCTATCTATCTATCTATCTATCATCTATCTATCTTATCTACCTATCTATCTATCCATCCATCCATCCATCCATCCATCTATCATCTATCTATCTTATCTATCTATCTATCTATCTATCTATCTATCTATCTATCTATCTCTTCTGAGGTATGCCTGTGTCTCCTTGTCCTCGCAACCTGCGTGTTGGCTCCGGGGATGACTCTCGGACACATGTAGCCCATTGTCTCTCTCCCAGTTCTAGCAAGTGCCACCGCGTTTG